CATGAGTTTTGCAAATTCTTCACACAGAGAATCAGTTGTTGCCCCAAAAAAGATATCATCAACATAGACCTGAACAATGAGCAGGTTCCTTCCCCGTTTCTTTAGGAACAGAGTGTTGTCAATTTTCCCTCTTTTAAAGCCATTTTCTAAGAGGAACTTTGACAGCCTTTCATACCAAGCTCGAGGAGCCTACTTCAGCCCATACAATGCTTTGTCCAGTTTAAACACATATTCAAGGTGTTCATGACATTCAAAACCTGGAGGTTGCTTCACATAGACTTCTTACTTAAGAAGTCCATTCCGAAATGCACTTTTGACATCCATTTGGAACAAGGTGAATTCCATATGAGATGAAAAAGCGATTAGAATTCTAATAGCTTCCATGCGAGCGATCGGAGCAAACGTTTCATCATAGTCAATCCCTTCCTCCTTATTGTAGCCTTGAACCACTAGTCTGGCCTTGTTTCTTGTGGTAATTCCATGTTCATCAAGCGTGTTCCTGAATACCCACCTGGTTCCTATAATGGTTCGATCTGAGGGTCTGGGTACCAGGTGCCATACATTGTTCCTTTCAAACTAATGTAACTTGTCTTGCATGGCTGTAATCCAATCTGCATCTTTCAAGGCTTCATGGATATTCTTAGATTCTTCTGGGAGAGAAAGGCTGAGAAGGCAAGTAAATTTCTGGCTTTTGACCTGGTTTGTACTCCAGAATCTAGAGGGTAATAATGTTGTCAAGAGGATGAGAGCTTTGGTGTCTCCAGTTAGACGTCTGAGGTTCATTTAGAGAGAATGTGGGTACATTTGACTGGTTTTCCTATGTTCTTCTCTCGGGTGCTAATGGAGTACCCTGAACAGCATCAACCACTCTTTCTTCAGCTTTAGTGGTTGTAATTGAAGTACATGGTTCCATTGAAGATTAGGCAGTATAGTCTTCACTCAGCTCTTTTACTTGGCTCATCATATCTTCCTTTCCATTTGTCATGTCAATGACTTCACCGGGGACTAGTAAGGGTTCTCCATCTTGATCTTCTTCAGCACTCTTCTCACAGGATGGATAAGACTCATCAAAAATAACATGAACACTTTCCTCGACACATTGAGTCCTCTTATTATATATCTTGTAAGCTTTTCTTTTAGAAGAGTAGCCCATAAATATTCCTTCATCACTCTTGGCATCGAATTTACCAAGTTGATCCTTCCATTATTGAGAATATACCATTTGTACCAAAATGTTCTTAGGTGAGTCCGCTTGGGTTTCCTTCCATTCAACAACTCATATGGGGTTTTATTCAGGAGTAATCTGATCATGCACCTGTTAACCAAGTAGCAGGCAGTGTTGACCGCTTCAGCCTAGAAGTTCTTTGCAATTTCACTGTCGATTAGCATTGTTCTTGCCATCTCTTCTAGAGTTCTGTTCTTCCTTTCTACTACTCCATTTTGCTGGGAAGTTCTGGGAGCTGAGAAGTTGTGGGTGATGCCATTTCCATTGCAGAACTCGTCAATTTGGCATTGTCAAATTCTGTTCCATGATCTGATCTAATGCATGCGACTCTAGACTCCATCTTCACCTGGATTTTCTTCACAAAGGCCACAAACACCTCAAAGGTTTCATCGTTAGTTCTAAGAAACAGAGTCCATGTGAATATGGAGTAGTCATCCACTATCAAACAAATGTATCTTTTTCCTCCTCTGCTTTGCACTCTCATAGGACCACATAAGTCCATATACAAAAGCTCTAGTGGCTTTGAGGTGCTCACATCTCTTTTAGACTTAAAAGAGGACTTCACATGTTTTCCTCTAGCACAGGCATCACAAACCTTTTGCACCTTGAATTTTGACATGGGTAGACCATGGACCAGGTCATTCTGAATTAGTTTGTTCAGAAGAGAAAAGATTGCGTGCCCCAGTCTTATGTGCCATAGTTCAACATCATCATCAACAACCTTCAGACAACTTAGATCACCACTTTGTAAGGAATCAAAATCAGCAACATATATGTTTTTGTAACTTTTGGCAACAAGTGCCACTTAATGAGTTACCAGATCAGTAAGTGTACATATCTTGGACAAGAATTCCACCTTGTTTCCTTTATCACAAATTTGGGAGACACTCATGAGACTGTACTTAAGGCCATTGACATAGTACACATTTTCAATAGAATGAGTGAGTGACTTCCCAACTTTTCCAACTCCAAGAATGTACCCCTTTTTCCCATTGCCAAAGGATACACTCCCTCCTTGTAGGGATTTTAGTGAAAGAAAGTCCATGTTGTTCCCAGTCATGAGCTAAGAACACCCACTATCCATGAACCATTGTTGATCGCTTCCTTTCACTGTTCCCTGCACAAGAAGATCAGGAGTTAGTTTTAGGAAGCCAAGCAAGTTTGGGTCCCTTGTAGTAGGCAAGAGGATGAATAAGAGCTCTCTTAGTCCATGCAGGTAATGTGCGCTTTTTGTGAGTGGAACCTGGTCCCTCTTTTGTAGTCACTTTTTCAGCAAGCACTTTGTTTTTCTGAACAAATTGAACCCTAACTTTGCAATTTTCTTTGAAGTGCCCATTGTTCCCACAGTGGGTACACGGCTAGTTATCAGAAACAGTGACGTACTTGTTGTGAGGGTTGTAAGGAGTTTTCTCCCTTTGGAACCTATTCCCTGCCTGTTTCCACCATTATTAGTGTGCATGGCAGTGATACCTCTGAGGACCGGGTCCACTTTAGGGACTTTTCAAAATCATTCTTTACTCTTTCTAGATCAGTTTGGAGGTGCTTGTTTTTCTCAGTTTCAACACACATCCTAGTTCTCACAGCTTTCAACTCATTTTCAAGCCTAATGTGTTCCTCACTAGCTATCTCTTTTCCTTTTCCAGAACTTCCAGGTTTTGGCTTAGTCCTTGGTCTCTCTATTGTTTCCTTTAGGTCTGCAATTACTGCCAAGAGATCAATTTTTTCTTCTCTGAAGTTTTCAATGGTTTCCTTATGGTAATAACTACAGCCACTAAGTCATCTCTAGTTTGTTCAGCTTCTCCTAGTTCTAAGGTCAAGGAATCCCTATTCTCCGCAAGACTATGATAGGCATCAATCAATATACTAGCTGAAGACATGAGTTTTTTAGGACAGTAGGATTTCAGATTTCTCTGAACATCCCTGAAATTTACCTCTTTGTTGTCATCGTCTTCATCATCATCTGATTGGGCCATCAAAGCAAAAGTTGAGTCATATTCATTTTCCTCGCCTTCAACTGCCATCATGGAACTATCACCAGCATCAGTTTCATCTTCAAACTCACTAGAGGAATCCCCTCATGCTGCAAGAGCCTGTTTCACCACATTGTCAGCAGATCTCTTTCTCTTGAAGTCCTTTAAAGGAACCGGGTTCCTCTTAGCTGTTTTTTCAGGGTTGTTCTTGATAAATTCTTGCTTCAAGAGAGGACAGTCTTTCATGAAGTGTCCAGGCTTTCCACACTTTGACAAAGATCATAGTTTTTTGGTTTGCTAGAGCTGCTCCTTTTTAGCATTTCTCCATTTCTTCTGACCATCTTCTGAAATCTTTTTATTAAGTAAGCCATGTCACTGTCTTCCTCACTTGAGTCGTGTTATCAGCTTTGAGTATCAGGTTCTTTTCTTTCTATGGTTCTATTCTTTCACTATCTATCTTCCTCTTCATCTCGTGGGTCTTCAGATTTCCAACAAGCTCTTCTATGGTCAGCTCATGTAAGTCCCTTAATCAGGAATAGCATTCACCTTGCTTTCCCAAGGGCTAGGCAGAATACTGAGGATTTTCCTCACTAGCTTTCCTAGGAACGGTTTCACCAAGTGAGTGTAACTCTTTTATGATGGAAGTGAATCTTGTGTGCATATCTTGAACGGATTCATCATCCTTCATCCCGAAGAGTTCATACTCGGTAGTGAGCATATCGATCTTAGGCTGCTTTACTTGGGTGGTTCCCTCATGATCTGTTTGCAAAGCTTCCCATATCTCCTTAGCAGTGTCACAGGCGGAGATTCTATTATATTCTTCAGGCCTTATTCCACATACCAGAATCTTCTTGGCACGAAAATTCTTCTCCACAGCTTTCCTGTCTGCGTCGGTGTATTCTTTACTTGTTTTTGGCATTGAAAATGGAAGTTCTTCCAGTACCTTTGTTGGAACATAAGGACCGTCACATATGGTATCCCATAACTCATAATCCTCAGCCATGATAAAATCATGCATTCTTGTTTTCCACCACCCATAGTATTGTCCATTGAACCTGGGTGGTCAGTATGTAGATTGACCTTCTTCAAAATTTGGTGGAGCAGCCATAAGGATCCTTTCTGGGTGTTAGCTTGATAGGAGGAACCCGCTCTGATACCAATTGCTAGTTTGTATGAGTCCACCAAACAGTAGAGTACCTGGTCCTCTATGAGGTTATGCTGAGAATTCTAATAAATCTGTAAGTAAAAGGGGACAAAAACTACGACCTACATCTGTAGGCTTTCAACTTCACTAACTTGTAAACACTTATTACAAGCCACTTTGTAATGACTCCATTACAAAGAATTCAACTCAACTAACTTGTGGTACTGTTACTACAAGACACTTTGTGACTCCCTAGTTACAAAGACTTTAACTAACTTGTGATGCTCTCACCACAAGCCACTTTGTCACTCTATAGTTACAAAGGCTTTTACTTATGACTAAACCTAGTCACAACATAAACTTAAAGAGTTTACAGATTTTACAAGAGGGTTCCTAATCAATGCTTCTGGCTAAGCAATTTAGGAGATACAATGAGTACAATCATCAAGTTACAACTCAACTAAGGACAACAAAATACTGACTTTAGGAACTTGTCCGTAGTAGCGTTCAACTTTGTTCTTCAAGCTCTTGAGGACTGATTTCTCTATTTTTGCAAAAGGCTTGAATGAGAAACTGAAACGTTCAAGTGATGTTTTGATATAAACTCATTATTGATACACCTTGATGACATCACTTGAAATGATGTGATCACTTTAGTTGGTCAAGGAATAAGTAGGCACTGGAAACAGTGCAGTGCGGCAGAAACAGTGCAGGCGGTCACGTCGCTTCTAGCTGTGTCCAATTGACTTTGTACTGCTATGGGGGAACCACAAGAGTATTGGATCCTTGTTTGGTTTCCTCTCTCCTGAAGCTTATAGCAGTTCACATTTAGCTGGAATCCGTTAACTGCAGTGTAGTCCAAGTGTGTCAGGTTCCCTATCTGGTCCTTCACAGTGAGTTTGTAAGATCATCAAAACATAAGGCAAAGACATGAAATTCTATCAAGAAGCTCCAATTTTCCCCATGTCTCGTATGTTAAATCAAGAGAAATGATATTGTAGACTTCGTACTTAGCAGCACCAGCAGATGAAGCCCAATAAAGCTTCCCATTGACAAACTTACCAGAAAAATCTATCAGAAACCCACGCTTAAGGTCATTGATTGTTCTCCAGGAATCGGTCTTCAAACTGCAAATGTTGACCATTTATTCACCAACAATAACAAAAATAAAATCAATAACTACTACTTTATAATCGTCATATGACTCAATCATATCCAAAATATCTGTTATGGCCAACAGGCCCCCTTGGTTTAGCTTCTAACATCAGCAATTTCTTCAGCTTCCTAATTGTTGAGTTCCATAAAAATGTCTCGTCTCCCTTGAAAAGACAAATCAATCCATCGGTAAAACCCACAAAACTTGAAAATATTTTTGGGAACATCAAATACATCAGTGTTTGTTTCTTTATAAATAAAATAAGGAAGAGAGATAACAGACCTTGAAATTCTCTTGGGGGTCTCGAAATATAAGTCTATCTTGGCTGCATTCTTTGTCATTAGCCATTAATTTCATATGAATTTTCACAAATTCAGGGCTAGAGATTAGTTGAAGCCATGATTTCGATGCGCACATGAACTTCAAAAGAGACTGTGGGGGCAACTTTAAGAGGTTCTCCGTGATGATTTCCAGCGGAAGAAAAGGGATTATAGAAGCATGCATTATTATAGTTTAAGTGTAGTTGAAGATGTTTGAAACGGAGGAGGCCGACTGAAAACAAAAGCTATTTATACTTTAAATCAGCACATGAGCACTTATCTTCTATGTGCCTATTTTGACGCCTAATGTAAATGGAACTTTTTCTACTTCTTCAGCCTGGAACATTGTTGGACAGAGGAAAGCGAGATCACCTTTGTTGATGAAGATTCGGCACAAGTTTCTCTCATTTAAGATGTCGTTCATTATGTGGAGAATCCTTAAAAACAAATTGTATTTGATGATGTTCTTCCCATTTTCAGCCAGAATATTATATCCGTGTGTTTTTGCTGCAGGAATCCACAGGTAGAGTCCCTACATCATATATTCATAGCGGCTCAATGGATCTCGTGGCCTAAGGAGAAACCATATTGAGAGACTTTTACATTTATTTTATAAAATATTTACACTAACAACAAATTTACTTTCTAAATAATAAATTAATCATTTAAGATAAAAATAAGCGAATTTCAAAAAAAAAAAAAAGGAAGAAGAACACAAAATATAAAGTGGTGAATTATCGGATGTTGAGGTCCACAATTTTTGATTTCGCTATCATCACAAACAAGAAAAAGAAATAAACATACATAACATAAAATAGGTTAAATTTTGAGCATTAATAGTGTCAAAAATCTTTACTCCTTATGATTAATTTTAACGATAATTATAGTTCATTCTATTAAGTATTACTTATTAGTGAATATCTAAAATAAATTATAAATAACCTAATATAATATATCGAATTATACTAAAAGAAAATCGATGCATGAATGCTTTTCTGTTCATGCAGTTTGAGAAAACATTGCAAAAGAAATTCATTATGTTGTCAATATATATAACTTAATCCCTATCTAAAAGGGATAAAATTAAAATTGAAGACTGAAGCAAATATATTAATTAATCAGTAAAGAAAATTATCATAATTTATGAATTTATTGATATAAAATAGCATCAATCAAATAACAAAACGAATATACTGTAACACTTTTCTTAATACTAATTATTTATACAATTTAAATAATAATAATTTAAAATAAATTTGGGACCTTCAAATTTTGGGGGCCTAAGGCGACGACCTCACCCTCCAAGACTTTAGAGCCACCCCTGTCCGTTGGGCGTGAGATGGGAATAAATTCCTATTACAACTATGCTTACAAGGTGGCAGAGTACCAAGCCAAAGAATAGTATTCATCAAACTCTACTTCAAGTCACACCAGTAATTATTTGTTGGAAAATTTGGAAGGCTTCAAGTCCACCTAAAATGGATTGTATCCCAGAATAAAGTTAACAAGAACCGGATTGTCGATTGGCATGGTATTTGTGCACAAATTATGCAACTTTCCCTCGTGATTATGGCTTTTGCAGGGATCATAACGCAACATGATTATGGCTTTTGCCTCCTCGTTTGGGACCTGCAGTAGCAACTTTGCTGAAGCCAAGGCTGCATTGTTTGAAGCTCAGAGTGTGTTACAAGTGATTTTTCTAATATAATCCTTGAATGTAACTCACTTCTAATTATCATTATGTTGAATGGCTACAACAAACATTCGTGGCATCTGTTGGAAATTGTGTTGGAGACTAATAACTACATCAACATGGCTAATGTTAGAATTCAACATAGCTAATGGATCAATCAAGTAGCCGACACTCTAGCAAAATGGAGTATTGAAAATCCAGATCATGTATCTATATCGGTCAATACACTACCTCAAGGAGCTAAGGGGTTATGGTTGGATTTGATGCAAATGGTTTCTCTAAGACATAAGCATAGGAAAAACTGTTTTTTATGATGTGATGTCCTTTTTTGTTAAGTTACCTGTTGCTAGTCCTTAGCAGGTTTTGTAAATTTTTGTAACCTTTTTATAGAGAAGGTAATTCACATAAGGAGGTAAACTAAGATAGTAGATCCATCTCTATGTTGTAACTGATTTTTTGGATGAATGAAGAATGCGCCAACTATGACATAACTTTATTTTTTTTTAAAAAAGCACTTATCTTTCATGATGTCACGACCCCCGTTCACCCTCCATGAACATGTCGTGATGGCACCTAGTTCCTACAACTAGGTAAGCCTAACAGTGCGGAAATAACAATTCAACTTGAGGCATAATCAACTAAAACCGAACATATGGAAAATAACAACAGAATATAAGGCCGCCCGGCCTATACAACTCTAAAGATATGCGGAAGTCTAAAACTCAATCCCAAAACCCGGAAACTCACGGGAAACACATGTTAATAGAATTACCATAAGTACTCTAATCTCCAGAATATCTACATCAAGAGTATGATAGGATAACAGCTCTACAACTAGAATAAGGAAGAAGACTCTTCGGTTTGCGGACGCTACAGATATACCTTGAAGTCTCCGTGTATCTCCTCGCCTCAAGGATTGTGCGCCTGAGAAGAGGTACCTGGATCTGCACATGAAAAACATGCGTAGGAAGGGCATGAGTACACCACAGCGGTACTCAGTAAGTGCCAAGCCTAACCTCGGTTGGGTAGTGACGAGGAAGGTCAGGGCCCTACTGAGGCAAAATATAATAATGATAACTAACAGTACGAAAATCTGACAGAATTAATGAGTACAGCAGCGAGATAAGGCAGGTCAACGAGGCAATAACAACTACAAAAGAACAGAGTAAACACGGAATAAATACAGCTCAATATCAATGATAACAATGAGGGTCTCCCAGGATACTGTCCTGTAGCCCTTTTCTCAACTGTCCAGTGGATCTCCCGGGATACCGTCCCGTAGTCCATCATATGTGTATATCCGAAGGATCTCCCGGGATACCGTCCCGTAGTCCAACCATCAATGTGCAGGGGGATCTATCGAGAATCTAACCCGCAGTCCCAAAGTAAATGTACAGGGGGATCTATCGGGAATCTAACCCGCAGTCCCAAAGTAAATGTGTAGGGGGATTTATCGGGAATCGAACCCGCAGTCCCAAAGTAAACAAACAAGGGGAGGGGGGGGGGGAGCTACCGGAATCACACATCTGTAGTCCCAATGTAAATGCGCAATCATAACCAGAAGGTACACGGAAACGAAGTACAAAAGACAAGCAACAGGTAGTACTGGCCTAGCATGCCTCACGTAGTACAGTTAAGGCAACTTAAGCAATTAGGCAAGTTAAATCAACTAAACATGCTTTCCTAATCTAGCACAGGTTATATTTGCAAGTAGAACGAAGTAAATATGAAAGGAACTCAATCTCAATATCTTAAGAAAACCGGATTTTCAACAATTGGCTAAAGTACGCACCCGTCACCTCGCGTACAAGGCACTCAAATCAACAAATAACAAATCCTTAAGGGAAAGGTCCCCCACACAAGGTTAGACAAGCCACTTACCTCGAACCGGCTCAATATCACTAGAAATCGCGCCTTTGCCACGAGTATCCGACTCCAAATGGCCCAAATCTATTCAATTCAATTACATATCGTAAATAATATTGCAAATAACTGATTCCACTATTAAAGTTACAGCTAGGGCGCGAAACTAGATAAAATGACCAAAACGCCCCTCAAGACAACGCCTCGGAATCGAATAATTTTCACATTTTTAGAACCCTCGTACTCTCACGAGTCTAATCATATAAAAATCTCCCAAATTGGGGGTGAAATGCCCACTCAAAACTCAATAGTCTAGCCAATGAAGTTTTACCCCAAATTATCCAGTTTTTGGTCCAAAATTCAAATTCCAATGATGTATTTAGCTATATAATGATGAAATATAATAAAAAGGGATCAAGGAAACGTTACCCAATGATTTTCTCTTCAAAACCCACTCAAAATCGCCTTAAACCGAGCTCTCAATTGATTTTGCAACTTATGGACTCAAATCCTCGACATCTCTATTTCTGTCCAGGGGTTTCTGCTTCTGCGGACAAGGGACCGCATCTGCGGTCCCGCTTCTGCGTACCTCGAGCCGCTTCTGCGGTTCTTCATTAAAGTCAAGATTTCCGCTTCTGTGGCCCTTCACCGCACCTGTGGTTGCCGCTTATGCGGATTCATTACCGCTTCTGCGGTTTCAAACAAAAATCCAAGGGCCGCATCTGCGACTACAATCTCGCAGGTGCGTAACCGCTTCTGCGGTAAACTTCCGCTTCTACGGAAACTGAAGAAGAACTCGAATTTTGCTCCAGCGGGGGTCTAGCCGCTTCTGCGGCTCCGCTTCTGCGCTTCCCAAGCTGCAGAAGCGGAAATACCAGATGACGGAACCTTCAGTAATTCATTCAACTTCAAAATTTTCCGTCAACCACCCGAAATCATCCCGAGGCCCCCGGGACCTCAACCAAAAGCACCAATACCACCTAATACCTTATTCAAACTTGTACCAATCCTTAAAACACCTAAAACAACACCGGAAACCCGATTAAATCAAAGATTCAAGCCTAAGAACTACAAGTTTCTTCCAAATACGCTTTCGATCAAAAACCTAACCAAAACACGTCCGAATGACCTGAAATTTTGCACACACATCCCAAATGACATGACGGAGCTACTGCAACTTCCAGAATTCCAATCCGACCCTCGGATCAAAAACTCACTATCGAACTGGAAATTTCAAAAATTCAAACTTCGGCATTTCAAGCCTAAATGAGCTACGAGCTCCCAAAATACATTCCAAACACGCTCCCAACCCCGAAATCACCTAACGGAGCTAACGGAACCATCAGATTTCCATTCCGAGGTCGTCCTCATACTGTTCCGACTACGGACCACTTTTCAACACTTAAGCTCTCATTTAGGGACTAAGTGTCCCAAAACTTTCCAAAACTCAACACCGAACGTCCCGGCAAACCAAAATAGCAGAAATAAACTTAGGGGAAGCAGTTAATGGAGAGATCGGGGCATAAATTCCAAAAACGACCAGCCGGGTCGTTACATCCTCCTACACTTATACATTCGTTCGTCCTCGAACGAGCATATAGAACATACCTAAAGTAGTGAAAAGATGA